AAGCAAAACACTCACATACATTTTAAAAAACTGAAAACAAAACCCAAAAACTTGCACATAGAGAAACATCACTGAGAGGCTTGGACATAGCTCAGTAGAGTGGTGCTTTCCTAGCATGTGTTAGATATTGGGTTCCATCCCAAGCACAGAAAGAGAGAAAGAAAGAAAGAAAGAAAGAAAGAAAGAAAGAAAGAAAGAAAGAAAGAGAGAGAGAAAGAGAGAGAGAAAGAGAGAAAGAGAGAGAAAATAAATGTTGGCCAGGCATGGTGTGATGGTTTGTATATGCTTGAGCCTGGGCGTGGCACTATTAGGAGGTGTGACCTTGTTGGAGTAGGTGTATCACTATGGGCATAGGCTTTAAGACCCTCATCCTGTCTGCCTACAAGCCAGTATTCTGCTAGCAGCCTTCAGATGAAGATGTAGAACTCTCAGCTCCTGCTGTACCATACCTGCTGGATGCTGCCATGTTCCCCACCTTGAGGATAATGAACCAAACTTCTAAACCCGAAAGCCAGCCCCAATTAAATGCTGTCATTTATAAGACTTGCTTTGGTCATGGTGTCTGTTCACAGCAGTAAGACCCTAACCAATACACATGGTGATGCATGTCTGTTGTACTAGCACTCAGGAAGTAGAGGCAGACAGATCTTTGTGAGTTTGAGGCTAGCCTGGTCTACATAGTAAGTTTTAGGATGGATAGCCAGGGCTATATAGAAATCCTGTCTCAAAAACAAAACTACAACAATACTGAGAGAGAGTTCATTGCCAAAGCATGACTACAGGCCGTTGGGAAATGGCTCAGCAGGTAAAGGTGTTTGCTAACAAGTCTAGACCTGAATTCAGTTCCTGGGACCCATATAGTGGAAGGCAAAACCAGATTCCAACAGGTTGCCCTCCCACCTCCACACAAGCACCATGGAATGTGCATGCACATACATATACACACTTGTAAGGAGCCGCCATTAGAAGATGGCGCTTGTTCCCTCTGTTTGAGGTGGAAAACAACTGCATTCAGGGTCGTAAATACCTGCTGTGAGCCTGCGTATCTTTCAGACACAGCTCCTCACCCTCCCGAACAGTATGTAAATGAAGTTCTGCAAGAAGCACCAATTAGACACTTATACACAGTTGTGATAACTATTTAAGCAGCACCCATTTCAGGCTTGGGGTCTTTCGCTTTACAATCAATGGTGTGTTCCCCAATAAAGTGCGTGAGGAAGGATCCTGTTGTTGCGTCATCCTTGCTGGTGAGGCGGGCGTGACACACACTCTCAAAATAAGTGTAATTAAAAAGATATTACAAGAAAGCTTCACGGCAGAGGGATTGTCCCTATATCATAGAGAAATCTTTTTTAAAGATTTGTTTTGTCAGGCAGTGGTGGCATACACCTTTAATCCCAGCACTTGGGAGGCAGAGGCAGGTAGATTTCTGAGTTTGAGGCCAGCCTGGTCTACAGAGTGAGTTCCAGGATAGCCAGGGCTGCACAGAAAAATCCTGACTCGAAAAACCCAAAAAAAAAAAAAAAAGAAAGAAAGAAAGAGAGAGAGAGAGAAAAAAGACTTGTTTTGTGCTGGGGAAATGGCTCAGCTGTTAAGAGCACTGGCTGCTCTTCCAGAGGTCCTGAGTTCAATTCCCAACAACCACATGGTGGCTCACAACCATCTGTAATGGAATCCGATGCCCTCCTCTGGTGTGCCTGAAGGAAGCAACAGTGTGCTCACATAAAATAAATAAACCTTAAAAAAAAAAAAAAGATTTGTTTTTATTTTTATTTGTGGGTATATGTATGTAAATGCAGTGCTGCAGTGCCATAGAGGCCAGAGATATCAGAACCCCTGAAACTGGAGTTACAGGTGGTTGTAAAACACCTGATGTGGAAACTGGAAATTCTTCAGTTCCTCTGCAAGATCAATAAGTGCTCTTACTTACTGAGACATCTCTCTAGCCTCTGTAGAGCATTCTTACTGTGTGACACTAAGTAACTGATTTGACTTCTCTGAACCTTAGTTCCCTCTGAAAGAACAGGATGACAGACCAGGGCTTGGTGACATATACCTTTAATCCCAGCATTTGAGAGGCATAGACAGGTGGATCTCTATGAGTTCAAGACCAGCCTGGTCTACAGAGTGAGTTCTAGACCAGCCAAGGATACACAGTGAGACCCTGTCCCAAAGAAAGGAGAAAAAAAAAAGTCTGTACATGTTTTCTTAGGCTGGTTATAGTTCAGGAACTGGATGAGGAAAGCAAGACACTGTAGGTAGGAAAGCTGCAACCCTCACAGGAGAGCATTACAGGTAGAGGAGGTCACGTTGAACAGAGAGTCAAACAGTGGCACAGTAGCCATGTCCACCCCAGGCCTGAAGAACACATCAGGAGTGAGAAGTGAGAGCTATGATCCTAACAGCTAAGCTTCTAAAAGGACAGACTTCAATGCAAGGTCAGAAGTTTCCTCACTTTGTCAGTTCTACAGTGGTGCACACACACACACACACACACACACACACACACACATACACACACACACACACACACATTCATATTTCTTGAAAATAAGCAGAAGGTTCAAGGTCCTACAAGAAGCACACTAGGCATGACAGACATTTCTGCTGAGCACCTACTTGGAGGATCCTCAGAACACACTGCAGAGGGCAGGTGCTTTAAGGAGTTTCCAGTGCCCTGTATTGCAACCAGAAGAGTACATGCCCACCGCATGCGGAGCTGTTTCCAACGGATGTCAGAGAGAACACTCACAGGTCAACATTTAGTGAGGTGTGTCAGGAAGACAGTGCTGTGTGATGTGTACAGAATTTCAATCAAATCAGAACTCTTTCTAGCCTGATGAATCATTCGATTAGCAAGTCTGGGGTAAGAGATAAGAGATGAGACTCTGAGGCCCAGCTGTAACCATTGAGCCGCCACCACCTCCTGCGCCACCCTCGGTTCCCCACTGCCTGCATCCTGGTTTAAAGACAGAATCAAGGGATTGATCAGCCTTGTTGGCCCTGTGGGGACAGCACAAAGTCAACTCCTCCTGAGCAAGTCCAAGCCCTGCTCTTCCCTGCTGCTTCTGCTCGACCAATCACCATGGCAACAATCATCTAACAAGGATCGAGTGTCCAGGAGTGAGCAGCAGGCCCTCAAAGGTAAGCAGGCCTGGAAGAATAGTCTTGAAACTCAACAGGACACCATGCAAGACTCCTCTGTTTGCGGGTTTTAGTCTCTGCTGGTGGATCTAGCTTGACCTCATGAGCTGAGTGCTCCCCAATCCAGCATCCACCCTAAGCTAACACCAAAGTAACCCGAACTCTGCAAGCAAGCCAACAGGGCGTGACTCCAATAGTTTCTGCAGTGAAACTCAAGTCAAAGAAAGCAAAGATAAACCACATCAAACATCAAAAGACCCAGGCAGGGCAAGAAGTACCAGTAAGAGCATGTGAGGATCCAGGATCCGTGTCCTGTTCTGACTCCTTAAAAAGTCAGCCCACCTTCACATACTGCAAAGGAGCTTCCTAAATGACACAGTTGCCAGTTACCATGCTCAAAGGAAAGGGTGGGGGTAGATTATGGCACAGAAGGGGTGACACTCCACCTTCTCATAGTGTCTTGGCAGCTGCTACCTGGCATTATGTTTGGAGAACTGGGTGGTAAGTAAGAGTCCTCACCTGCTGTCCACACTCGAGGGGGGGGTCCTTCATAGAGAAGGCTCAGGCTGGTGACTGGGTATCATTGATCTACAGGGCTGAGAAATCTCAACAGGGATGAACTGACCAGGGCAAGACAACTGTTTAGAAAACAGGGAGGGCACGAGATGCCAAAGGGCTTCTCGCTCTCTTTGCTCTGGTTTCCATTTCTCACTAGCTGACACCCCAGGAATTTTCATATTGCTAATCAGGACACCTGAAAAAAATAACTGAACCCACTTTCCGAGAAATGTCACAAATTATGACTGCTAAAAATGGCTAATAAAGTATACCATATGGTACCTGCCGTCATGTGACTTACATACAAATAAGGAGCCATTTTAATGAATAGAGATGTTTGTCTTTTTGTTGTTTTGAGACAGTATCATATAGCCCGGACTGGACTCAAACTCTAAATAGCTGAAGGTGATCTTGAACTCACGGTCCTCTGCTTCCGTCTCCCAGGTGCTGGGGTTGCAAGTATGAGACATCTTGCCTAGTTTGTGTGATGCTGGAGGATTGAACCCAGGACCTCATGCATGCTAGGCAAGCACTCTTATCAACTGGGCCACACGCCCAGCATGAATGTTTTGTAGTACCTCCCTCTCCAGCAGCAAGACTGTACCTAAAATGGACTCTTCTTCAAGAAGAAAAATCTGCAAGTAAGAAAAAGTATTCCAGCCAAAACTTTCCCTAACGTCTAAACCTAGCTGCAGACTGAGCGGCTCCAAAGTTCCCAAGTCACACTGGCGGCGAGTGCTGAGAGGCTCTTGCGTGTGCTCCTTTCCTAATACCTAGACAGGCTCTCCTCAGGTGCATCTTGTCTTCCAATGATGTCATCAATAAACTTTCTAACTTTGCTTCCGACACATCCTAACTTCTCTTCAGGGACACAAGTGAACCCTGGCAACTATCCTGCTGCTGGTAACAAGGCCTTAGGGAGGGGATAAAGAAAAAAATAAAAACAAAAGTCTGTGCCAGAGAGAGGACATCCTGTGGGGATATGGAGACCTGGGCCGGGGAAGCAACGAAAGGGTCCCTCTGCTTACATAGCCCAATCAGAAAGGCTGCACTTGAATTTGGGAACAAGTATGATAAAGGCTACCACAGGCCCATGCTGCTCCAGCAGCCACCTCACCTTCTGTTCCAGCCCTCGACTCCTGTGACACAAATTCTATCTCCTCAATTGCATCACCTAGCTAGGAGTGTACCCTAGAACCTCAGGAAGAAGAGATTCAAAATAGCAAACAGAAACGGAGAGCAGGTGCCTGGAGTTCCGGTCACAGACAAGACAGAGAACCAGCACACCAGATGCTCACCTTGTCCACGTGTGCGTGCCAGTACTCATCGTGAGCTGTCTGGGCTTCCGTGCTATTTATTCGGGAGAAGAATGTGGGCTTCGTAAGGTACAACAGGGATGCACTGATGCCGAAAGCTTCTGCAATGGTGAGCTGGACCTTCTGCCGAATGTCCCTGCAGAGGACGCGATGGGTCAGTCTGGGATTTCGTAAGTTTTGATTATTTCCGATGTTTTATAGAACATTCTTTTTCAATTTTCCTCCTAATTACAACTCTCCACTTAACTCTTAAACCTAACAGAACATAGCAGACCTTTGGATAACAATCAGTATTTAGAGTTTTCCATCTTTAACTCTCTTGCATACCGTCTGCAGATAGCAATGTCTGTAAGGAACAGCCCCGTGGCTGGCAATGGTCTTCATGCTTGCTGGTGCAGGAGTCACCTTGCTGTCACCCAGAAACACAAGTTTCATGTTCCCTCTGGGTTGGCTCCTAGGTCACACTTGTTCAGTTTCTATGTGTGAAAGGAAGGCCTTGCAGAAGGTGCTGTCTCTGCTCTACGTAGTTCCAGGTTTGTGTGTCCATGATGTCAAGAAGAATGTACAGCTCAAACGTTAGGAGTGTGTGTGTATGTGTGTGTATGTGTGTGTCTTATAAATTTATAAACTATAGAGCTACAAATGCCAAACTATCACAGAACAGTTTCTACTTAAGCCAGTGTGTGAATACTAGGAATGACCATCAAGAACAAAATAAACTAGTGAGGGCTAGGAGTACAACCGGTCAGCTGGAGACAGCAGTGGGCTGGGTCTTATGTCTTAAGAATATCAGAGTGGAGCTGTATGCCAGGGGGGACTCTCAAAAGTGTCTGCAAAGCTCCTGACGGCTCCATGTCACCTGCAACAGTGGACTTAAAGAGTCACACATGTTGTATGCATTCAGTGACAATTCATGGCTGCCACTGCCAGGTACACAGTGTTACTCAAGCTCTTCGCCTGCTCTCTGGACCAGAGGCCTTGGCTTTGTTTAGCAGCTGTTTCCCTGGGAACATACGAAGGTGAAATGTCAGCTCAGGTTTCAAGGCTGACCATCAGTGATAGGTGGGCATGGGGGTGCAAAGGGCAGCAGGAACTTAGTGCTCTGGTGGCCTGTTCCATGCCTTGGCCGGCTCAACACAATCTAGTAGGTGGTAAAAATCACATAAAATTCAACACACACACGCTCACACCTGGTTACAGGTAAAGCCTGGAATTCTGAACAAGATCAGAGTGCTGTACCAGTGCCCATTCTGGGAAATGATGTCATACTGCAGCTAGGTAATATTAGTGACAGGACTAAGTGGTGTGTAGAATCTCCGTGGACTTTTAACACACATCTTAGTGATATTTTTTATTTTTATATTTTTTATTTTATTTGGTTTTATGTATGTGAGTGCTCTGCTGCATGTACACCTGCATGCCAGAAGATGGCATCAGGTCCCTTTATAGATGGTTGTGAGCCACTATGTGGGAATTGAATTCAAGATCTCTGGAAGAGCAGCCACTACTCTAAACCGCTGAGCCATCTCTCCAGCCTCTTAATAATCTTTAAATAAAAGCTTTAATTTTAAAAAAATTCCCCAGATAGGCAAGCTGCTCTGGGTAAGAACTGTACAAGAATCATGTAACAGGTGCTGGGCTGTGATCAATAGCAGGACATGTCTGCTACAGGACCAAGAGGGCTTAGAAAGTGTTAGGGGAGCTGCCCACTACCCAGAGACAGACTGAGTTTCGTCTACACCCACGGGTCTTGATCTCTGACACAGACCTGGCCTGATGTATCAGGACATCATGGAACTGACCTCAGCCCCCTTCGCGTATCTGGCCACGCCCATCTCTTCTTGTTCTCCGTCTTCCTTACCTATATAACTGAAAGTCCTCCTCAGAGAAGATATTTTGTATTTTATCCCCAAAGTATCTGTGAAATAATAAATAACATTAGCAGGTGTTACTAATCTTTTCCTTGCTTTTTGTTTTTGCTTTTTTTAAAATAGGGTCTTGCTCTAGCTCAGGCTGATCTTCAACTTGGGGCTCAGACCACAGGTATAAACTATCACACCCCAGCCTCCTTGTTTCCTTTAGTCAGTCTTTCCTCAAGTTAACCAACAAACTCCAAAAGTAGATCTGCCATATCATCTGAGAGTTATTCCATTCCTGTAATGATAACTATGTTATAGAGAAGGAAAAAATGATACAAAGTAAGGGGGGGGGGAGGAAGGAAGATGGAGGGGGAAGGGGGAGAGGGAGGAGGGAAGGAGAGTGGAGGGAGGGGGAGAGGAATAAAGAGAGGAAGAGGGGGGGAGGCAGGAGGGAGGGAGAGAGGGTGAGAGGGAGAGAGGGAGAGAGGGAGAGAGGGAAATCGGCAGTTGACAGAATGATGGCGTGGAGGCTGAGAACTCTCTCAAGTCTCTCTCTAGCCCTAGAGGAACCTCGAAGCTCTCTGAAGTCCATGCAGCTGCTGGACGCCCACCTGCATCCTACCTCTTCTATTTCCTCTAGCCTCTCACCTATACAGGTTCACAAAGTGTTTCCCAACAGACAGGGCTCCAGAGTGCAGGTCCAGGATAGATGCCTGAAAAAGATGAATGTGCGTAAACCGTGGTCACTTTAGAAGCCAAAGCTGAACCTCAGTTGCCACAATCCATTGTATAAACACTCTACCTCTGACTTCTTAAAATTCTGCCTTATGCACTGTCTGCCTGGACAAACGTGACTCTTCTGCTGTCCAAAGAGATAACCAAACTCTTTGGCCTAACATTTTCGGGAACGTCTCCAGACACACTCCCCAGACACATCTGAGGATGATTATGGTGAGTCACAGCCCACCCTAATGACTCCATCTTTCTTTCCCTCCACTAGATCTGTGAAGGTAGGACTTAGACACATGGTTCTGCCCATGTGTGCAGTGTGACCAGTTTCTGTATAAGTGCACACTTCTGCATGTACACTAATTACCACCCTTTCTGTCCTCTCTCTGTCCTCCACTCCTATCTGACAGCCCATCCTGAGCATCTGAAGCTCCACTTTCTATGAGAAGCTGCCTGTGTTCTACTGAGGTAGAAGACCCTGTGATGTGCCTCTTTCTCTGGAATAACTCACGTTGTTTCTCACAGCTAAGCATCAAGGCTATTCACTGCTCAGATGTGTCAGACCTGCTGGCCTATCCTAGTGATAGCCTTGGGTTCTTCTGTGCACACTGGCCACAGGTGCATGTGGCCATGTCCTTGGGCTCCCAGTTCAACACTTCATATAGAACTACACACCTGTAAGTAACCTTTAAGAAACTGTCAAATCTTTTCTGACTTTAACTGCCTAACTCTGAGTCTTTCCCTGTGTCTCAGGAAGAAAGCAGCCATCAACATGAACCATTTTACCCCATGCATGGTGGGTAACAGGGAGCCGGCCCCTTTTCTTATTTCTACAATTGCTTAGCTAAGGCATGGATATGACTTGGGTCTAATGTTTACTGAACTTAAAGGTATGAGGCCTATTACACAGGGACTCTCAAGGTCGTGCTGAATAAAGAGGAGACAAGTCATTCACTGACAATCCTTTAGCAAATAGCTCCCCAAACTCAAAAGAAATTCCATTTTCAGAACTCTAAAGACAGAATTACAGATGAAGTTGTGCAATCACAGAAACAGTTTGAAATTATAACAAAGTCTGAAAGCCTACCTTCTGCAGACTTGATTTGGGCCTGACACAGACTATAATGCAAAGCAGTTGCCAAAATACGCAGGGAGAAGAAATCCATCCTCACACCAAGCAGAGACCAAGGTCCCAGTGACCAGTGCCCAACTGTCCATTTACAGAGGTGTGGCTAGCCCAGTTTATTCCTGTGGCTGTACGGAATGAGGACTTCCAGCTACACGAGTTCATTCTCCCACCTTTGAAGCCAGAAGTCTAGAACCAAGGAGGTGAGGTGGCGCTTCCTTGGTTTCTGGCCTAAGCTCTAGGGCATGGTCCTTCCTTGTCCTCCAGTATCTGTACCCTAGGCTTTCTTTGGTTTGTGGACATAGAACCCACTTTTCACCTCTATCTACCCGTAGGCTTTCTCTTCTCTTTAAGTTTCCCTTTGGCTCTGTCTTACACAGATAACACCTGTCCTTGGACTTGAGGTCCCTGAGAAGGACTTCCCCTCAATTACGACTACAGAGATCCCATTTCCAAATTACATCACAAATTCCAGGTGGACCCACCATCCTGTTCCTTGTATGATTTACCCTAGTGCAGAGGATGACGGGCCTCTGTTGGCCTGCTGCAGTGGGGTCCATTTAAGCATCTTAAAGAGGCTTTGCTTTCCCCAGCAGCTGCCTGGCCACCAGGCTCGACTCCTTTGTCAGCTCCCTCCCTCTATCCTCTTTCCAATCCTCCCCTATCCTTCCTGTCCCTATCCAGAATGTCTGAAATGCCAGTGGGACATGAAGCCAGGCAGCCTGAAGAGATGGCCATGTGTGACTTTATACATTCTCTTCCCAAGAGGGATACCAGCCACTGTCTGAGAAATAACATAGACACACCAGGCCATGTCTCTGGTGGGGAACAAAGGGGACCTTGTGCATCCAACACTTCCTTCTTCCCTTCCAAGGAGAGCAAACCTAAAATGTATCAAGAAAATAGAACCATGCCAACTCACCCCTCCATCTGATCCACCTAGGGAGAGCCCTTTCTCTGCTATTCTGTGGGGGTGAAAAAAAAAAAACAACTTTAAATCAAAATTTAGTTGACAGCATTATCCATAAAGCATCTAGGCAAATCATCCATCAGTATAATAGTGCCTTATCTATAGGTTCTTCTTGTTTAACATTTATGATGTAAACAATCAGGGAAGCTCAAAAATGTAACTCTCAAAGCTGCGGATACGTCAGCACCCTCTTGCTCCCAGCACATGGCCTACTTGGAAACCACTGGCCTGATTCTGAACTGTTGCAAAGGAACCTCTCAGTCAGTCTGTGGTCTGATGGCTCCCTAGTTGATGGAGATTTTGGTAATTACAGCTCAGACTGTCAAAGAGCTATACCATACCAAAGAGGACCACCCAACTAAAGAGCAAGCAGCTTTGACAAAGCTACCAAGGAACACTAACCTGTCAGTAAAGCATTAATAATCCTCAGGTATAGTAAGGTATAGGATCAGGGTGGGGAGCAGGATACAGAGGACAAGCTTCCTGCTGGGCACCATAGTAGGAATAGCATAAGGACAGAGAAGAATGGGGCTCGTGGGTCAAATGAGGGGGTCACATACTGAGTCTGAATGGCTGGCCAGAAAATGAAATCTTTCTTTTTTAAGATCTTGTTGTTTAAATCCACACAAAGGCCGGGCAGTGGTGACGCATGCCTTTAATCCCAGCACTTGGGAGGCAGAGGCAGGTGGGTTTCTGAGTTTGAGGCCAGCCTGGTCTACAGAGTGAGTTCCAGGACAGCCCTGGCTATAAAGAGAAACCCTGTCTCGAAAAACCAAAAAAAAAAAAAAAAAAAAAAAATCCACACAAAGAAAACTCCCGTATCAGCTGCTTCTGAGCTGGCATTTATGAGCCACAGAGAGGTGAAATATTACCTATTGATTGTCAGCTAAGGCTGGAGGAGCCCTGGTCTCCATAGCAGAGTAAACTTCCTGTGGAGGAGGCTAGGCCTCTAGACTGCTCAATCACCAGAAACATTGTTAAGGCCACAGCATTTCCTCAAAGGAAGCAGGAAGCCTGCCCTCTGACCCCCCAAACCCTTGAGGATGGTCCACGAGACTACGAAGGTTCTCTGAACTCTGATGTTGCCCTGGCTCACTCCCATTCACTGCTTAACCCAACTCTTAACCCTAGACAAACTGCAGAGGTGCATGGGTACCTGCGAATCTGCTCCGCCTCCTCCCTGGTGATGACGATGTCATTGACGCCTCTGCCACACTTCCTGGGGGTGCAGCCTGGAGGGCGACAGTCAAGGAAAAGTGATGACTTCCAAAACCACTGTCCCAAGATCATGGCCAAGCTGACAAAGTCCTTCAGCATGACCAGGGGGCCAGTTTGGCTAAAACACCTGGCTAAAAGTCAACTTCAGATATAAAGTAACTTTTCACTGGAATTTTACTCTATGCAGAACTTCAATTCACATCTCCTTCCTGCCAGGCGACCTAGATTTCTCACATAGGCTGATCCTGTCACTGCCCCCAAACCCTGAGAAAAAAAGGAAGTCCCCAGACATTGCATTGACATTTCGGTTTTGCTTTGTCTTGTTTGTTAGAAACATGGTCCATGGTCTTACTATGTCGTTTAGGCTGACTCAAACTTGAAAACTTCCTGGCTCAGCCTCCTGAGTTCTGAGATTACAGGCCTGGGCTAGCACACAAACAGTCTGGCAACATTTCTTATCTTGCTTGCTTGCTAAAATCCCTTTGGAAAGTTCTGACACAGCCCAAGCTGAGCCTGTCATTCTGGTCACCATCCGTCTCCAGGACCACAGCACCTGCCTGTCATACTCACTCCTGCTTCTCCTTCACTGTGGTGTTATGCAGACACCCAGAGAATGGAAGTTAGAAGCAGCTTTGATGGAAGAGGGTGGGTGTGATATGGGAGAGACATCAGGATGGAGCAGAGCATCAGCAGCAAGCTCAGCAAACTGTCCTTGTTTTCTGGCAGTTCCCTTGCCCTGAGTGAGCTGTGCTCTTACTTGTGATATGGGTCTGTAAACTCTGGGGACCTTCCTACAAGATATTTGTGTGTGTGTGTGTGTGGTAAATTAGGATAAGTAAACTCCCAGGATAGAACATCCAACACGACAGAAACATGTTTATTGTATTGACTGCAGAAGGAGAAAAGGGTGTGCCCTTTGTCCTTGGCCACCCAGTCCACAAAGCACTCCTCTGCCATCTCACTTGTGGCTGAGGGCTGAGTTCTTGTGCATCACGACAGCGCCCCTTTGTGGAAGAACATGGAACTTTTTCCCCATTCACATCCAAAACATTACTTTGAATAAAAAAATAAACCACCCTTATAGAGCAGGGCCCAAATGCTACATTTGAGAAACCGGATGAGTCTGGATGGTATCGAATGTTCAGGAAAACAGCAGCCCAAGGAGGCCTACACTCCACTCTATAAACCCAGTCCAGAGGTGTGTGCTCTTTAGGCTGCTGACTGTCCTCACCTGGCTCTGTGACCCTGACACTGCAGCTCACCTCTGTTCCCCTGGGCCTAACCCCAGGACTCCAGTTTGTAACTATTTGGGTATCCCTTCTTGCCCCAACAAGGACCATCAGCAGAACTGTGACCTGGGTACATTCTTGTCCTCACATTTTCTGGGTGCTCCTTACCTTTTTGGAACTTTTTTTTTTACACTTGTTATTTTATGTGTGTGGACACACAACATGTGTATAGAGGCTGGAGAACTACATACAGGAGTTCATTCTCTCCTACTGTGTAGGTTTAGGATGCTGAACTCGGGTCATCCAGTTTGTGTTATGTTCTTTAATGGCCAAGCCATCTCGCTGACCCTTTCTCAGCTCCCTAATCCTGTCACCTCTCTGCAGGCAGCCTCCGGGCACAGAGGCTTGTTAAGATGCTATCTATGCCCGAGTGGCATTGGAGGCCAACCCTGAAACATCTTTATTTTCCAAGTATGAGCTTGCCTATCTGGGAGGGAAAGTTTGTCTCTGCCCACATATATCGTCTTAACCATAGCAAAAGGCGATGTTGAGTTTCATGCCTGTCACTTCGTTTGTGTCTGTGTATAAGTATATACACATGACTGCAGGTGCCTGCAGAAGAAGTTGGATCCCCTGAAGGTGAAGTTACAGGCAGTTGTGAGCTGCCAGCCAAGGGCGTTAGGAACTGAACTCAGGTCCTGGGAAAATGCAACAAGTATTCTTGAATGCTGAGCCATCTCTCCAGCCCCTTATCAGTCACTCTTTTCTGAGAAGCCTGTGGCACATACCTTCAAACCTTCGGTGACCATCATAGTCCTCGGAGCAGGGAACCTCAATGAACCTGCCTTCTAAGACCTCACCACGACGAGCCACAACCTCAGTAACATCATCATCGATCCCCACAGTACTCCAGAGCAGGAATGGGAGCAGAGCAAGGCCGACCCCAAGGGCCACAATCCTTAGCCATGTCCTCTGTGCCTCCCGAGGCAGCCGGTCCTTCTTGGAACTAAGGATAGAGAACATAACCACTGGATGTAGCCATCATACTAAGCATGCCAATCAAAACCACAAGCTGTTCACACTGGATATCACCAGGCTTGGGCTGTGCCTACATTAATCTCTGATCAAGATGGATCAATTCCAATCAATCCTGAGATACTGCAGGTACTCGTGGGCTAATTATGAAGCAGCTGGTGGGAAACAGGGCATCTACTCCATCCACAACTCAAGCTTATCAGGATGCCCACCGTGCACCACCCCTCAGAAGAGTGTCCCAGGCAGTATGTGGCCCTGTCTTCTCTGACCAGACAGGGCTATGACCATAGGTAATTCCTGTCCAGCCCTCAGAGCACCTATTTGGAAGATTGCCAGGGAATGTGAGTCTCTAATCACTCACCCATCCCTATATGATTGCCCCATCCCAAGCATGTGCTCCTACACGAACACGTGTGTACTTAAATCAACTTACATGAATCATATCTACTTAACTCAAATCATAAACCTGCGGCCAGAAAGATGTCAGAAATGATATGTGAAAGTTGTCTCTATGACCCAGGTCTGTGTGGTCCAGTCCCTGATGAAGCTGTCTGTGTCTCTGTACATCCGTGTGTGTCTGTGTGGTCCAGTTCCTGATGAAGCTGTCTGTGTCTCTATACATCTCTGTGTATAACTAAAGTAGCTGAGCTCTGCTGTCCAGGAAAGGTCTCAGGAAAGAGCTTGAAATACACACAGAATTGTCAGAGTTAGGTCCCTGTCCCTAAAGTCTCCATTTCTTAGTCACCAGTTCAGGTGTGGGTTTGACAGAGGTTCACAAGGCCAGTTTTGGACAGGTGGGGTGTGAAAGGCTGGGATGATGTAACCGGGGAGGTGGGCCATACAGCAATGGAGAGTCATAAAGGCTCAGAAATGGTCCCTAGCAAGAGAAACCCGCTCACATGACTGAATGCAGTTCGACTCCAAGGAGAAGCTTCCTGTGGGGAGGACCTCTGTGCAGAGCTTGGAAGTGGGCAGCCACGTGGACATTTCACTACAGAAGGGATGCCGCAAGATACAACAACCAAGCCACGCCCCCAACACATCACGCCCACACTACTTCCACGCCCTCTCTCTAAGTCAAGCCTGCTCAGGTCGCAGTAAGGCTAGTCCCACCTGACACTTTTACCCAGGAGGCAACCCAGACACAGGTCAGACCCCGCCTTGTCATGATCACGCCCCACCCCGTCAGGCCCCACCCCTGGCACGGCCACACCCCACTTTACCACGCTCCACCTCCCTCCGTCCCCGCCCTCGGAATGGCCACGCCCACACACCAGTCAGGCTCCGCCCGCTATTGCGCGCGGCCTCCTGATCCTATGGATCCGGCTACCTGTTTGCATGCCGGTGTTCTGCTGCACTATTTCCCTCAGGAACTCTGGGTGGTCCCCTCCGCTGAGGTGCCATCGGGCCAAGCCGTCGCAGAGCCAGGCGGGACACAAGAGCCACCAAACTCGGGGCAATAGCTGCGAAAGCGAGGCGGGAACGGTGTGGGGACGCGGGAGCGACGCGCTCGGTCTTCGGCCGGCTCACAGCCAGACGTGAGCAATCGGAGGCCGAGTGGTGGCGGCGGGGGGCGGGGTGCGGATGCGGGGGGAGGCGGGGCCTTCTCTGCCCTTGGCGCTGCTCCCCTGAGGCACCTGCGGAGTTCTGCGTTCTCCCGTAGCAGTGCTACGCCGAAGACGTGGGTGAGTCAAGCCCATAGCCACTGGTTGGGCTGGACCAGGGGGACCTGTCTCTTAAGGCCGCCGCCCTCAACCCGGAGAGCTGCATTAAGAATCCTGTCGGACTTTGAGCTGCCTGAGAGTAGCGGGTCGGGGTTGGGGATTGAGGGCGGGGTGGGGTGGGGTAGCGCGGATGGGGGTGTGGTTCTTAAGGCTAGGACTTTGAGTCCTTGCACAGGACGAGCAGGTGAAATCATGCAACTAGATGCACAACTCACTAACTCTCTTTAATAATCGTTTGTGATTTTACAAAAGGTAGGAAAACTGTTTCTTTAATATCCTGGCTGTTTCAGTATCGTCCAGAAATTAACTGTAATGGAAACTATAGTAAGCTCTGATATATGTAGAGCTTATTCCCTTTTCAGATTATTGTTGATATTATTTTCAGTAGACCCAGGATGGATCCCAGGGCTCTTGGCATAATGAGCAAGTGCTGTATCATGGAGCTAGCCACCATCTCCCCAAATTACCATTACCTTAATTGTTTTTCAATACTAGGAATCGAACCTAAGGCCTTATGCATGCTAGACAAGTGTTGTGCCACTAAACTATCCTTATTTTACTTATTAGTATGGAGACAGGGTATTATTAAGTTGCCAAGGCTAGCCGTGACCTTCCTTTATAGCCCAGGCAAGCCTTAAACTTTAATCCGTCTTCCTCAGTAGGAGTCAGGGTGGGAAGGGTGTTACAGGTGTGTGCCTCTGCGACGCTTGCAACGTTTTTTGTTGCTATAAATCATAATAATCTCACAAGGAAATTGATGGTTTCCTATTTCAGTGCAATTTAAAAATTTGAATTGTATTTGAATGTGAAAATAGACTTGGTTTATTTTCATATTAGTAAAATTAGTTTTGTCTGGTTTAGTAGAGCACAGTTGGCTGGTATCAGAACTGAAGGGAAGGGCTGTGTCTGCTCCACTTTGTAACTTAAGTTCTCTCTGCCAGGAAGAAGTCCTAGACAGAGATCCTGTTATAGGAGTTTATAAAAAAAAAATGTCATCCTCCACACCATTTAAGATGAGATTAGTTCATTTGGACCTTAAGGGAGCACCGCCAAAGGTTTCATATCTCTCTGAGGTAAGGACTCCCTTTACCGTCTCATGACCTTTTACTTTGTGGAAGTGAGCACTAGTCAAACAACCTTGAGGCCTTCTGAATCACAGTAGTGACAGCATAGGTTTTTCATTTTCTCCCAGTTCCCCTCAGAACCAGACACAGCACCAGGGTGGCACAAAGAACAAAAGAATCCATGACCTCTGTGCTGTGGTTGAATTGTATCCACCAAAAACATAGGTTCAAGTCTTAACAGTTTGGTGCCTATACATATAACCTTACCTGGATAGTCTTTGGAAAATTGACCAGTTAAGATGAGGTCATACTGGGTTTCTGTGAGCCTGATTAAGAAAAGTGGATTGATTGATTATGTTTGGGTATATGTTTGGGGACGAGCACAGTGTATGCTCTCCCATGTGTTCATGTGAAGATCAGAGGTAAGCAACACTTTTTTTGGAGACAGGATCTCTTACTGAACCTGGAACTCACCGTTTCAGACAGACAGAATGGCCAGTAAAACCCCAGAATCTGCCTGTCTTTACCCTGCCAGGGCCAGGGTTACAGGCATATACCACCATCTTTGGCTTTTATATATGAGTGTTAGGGATCCAAACTCAGGTAAAAGGGGAGATTTTAGAGATAAAGTTGAGAAGGCACATAAATATGGACACCCTGAGACAACAGGAGCAAAGTGATACAGGCACAAATTAATGAACCAGAAGCTGGAAGAGGCAGGAAGGACTCTCCCATAAGACCTTCTGAGAAAGCATGCCCTGCCAACTCCTCAGTTGGAACTCCTGGCCTCTAGGACTATGAAAAGAAATCCCGTTATTTAAAGCCATTTCATTTGTAGTCATTTCTAACAGCAGACCTAGAATCCAAATACATTCTTCAACATGAATACAGTGCACTCATCTGTAATCCCAGTACTCAGGAAATGGAGGCAGGCGGTTCAGGAGATCAAGGCTAGCATTGATCTCATAGCAAATTCAAAACCATTCTGAACCACATGAGACATCGTCTCAAAAAAGAAGTGATGGTGAGAAATTGGTAAGATAGCCCAGTAGTAAAAGTGCTTATCACCAGACGTAATAACCCAAGTGTGAGTTCTAGGGACTTGTATTATGGGGGGCAAGAACCAGCTCCTACAGATTGTCCTCTGACTTCCACACCTGCTTGGGACACATACACTATATAGGTATACACACACAATTAATTAGTTAATTAATGAAAAAAGTGAGATCTAGGTGTTAGGTAGCTCCATAGATTCCAAAACCGGAATAATACATTCATATCCCAACACCACAAAGCTCATGTAGGGTGAGCAGCCTGAGCAGGAGGTGATAAAGCAAAGAGGAAGGAGAACTGTAGCAATGCTGTGACCAAAGGATCTAGAAAATATGCCCAAATAGATGCTACCCACATCCAGAAGAAATTGGGAGACATTTTTAACTGGCTTGAATTTGAGGATGAGTGTATAAAAATGAGTTTAAAAAGTACAGGGGCATCTAGAGGACCATAAGACTCAAAGAAATCAGAGATCTATCATAAGGGCAAAATATCAGGGGGAAAGTAAAGAGAATGTTCAGATAGCCAGAGGAAAGGAGGCAGAGACCAACGGTGGCCTCAGGAAGGACCATACAAAATTGAAGTACCTAATGCCCATGGCAGCAACAGAAGAGGAACCTGATCAGAGCAAGACTGGTGGGTAGAAGGTTTAGAAGTGTAGTAAGTGCTTGCCTAACATTTGGAAGCCTTAAGTTCAATCTGTAGCACCTCAGTGAATAGTAAGTAGATTGTGGTTAAACTCCGAGTGGACATAGGACACCACAGAAAAAGATGATAGTCTTGATAGCACAGAAACAAGCATGTCACGGGACCACGGAGCAGAATAAAGCAAGATACTCAGATGAGATAAAAGATTGGAAAGAAGTTTAGAATCAGAGGCAGAGGACGCTGAGCTAGGAGGATTAGACCGAGGATGCAGAATTGCTGCCTGCAGGACTCAGGAATAAACTGAGCGGGGGAATTCAGAAGTGAAGACTAAGTCGGAAGCATATAGGTAAGTAGTATACCATAAAAAGCATGGTATTTGGCAGTAAATGGCAAAATCCAACATGAAGAGGTATAAAAAAAAAACACATGCTCTTCTGTAAGCAGCCTGAGATGATCTGTGAAACGGTTTCCTTTTCATTTAGCCTAGAAAACTACAAAACACACAAATCAAGAGGGTCCTATCAGCCAGGCGTAGTGGTCCACTCCTTTAATCCCAGCACTCAAGAGGCAGAGGCAGGTGGATCTCTGAATTTGAGGCCAGCCTGGTCTACCAGAAAAAAGAAAAAAAGAAAAGAAAAAAAAGAAAAGAAAAAGAGTTCTGGACAGCCAAGGCAGTTACACAGAGAAACCCTGTCTTGAAATAAACAAACAAACAAAATCCACTCAGTTTTAGAAGCCAAGGAATTTCCCAAACCATCAAGAGTATGCATATTCAAAAGGCAACCAAGGAAATGGTTCAGTGCAGAAAACCAGTGTTCAGTTCCCAGGACCCACATCAAGTGACTCACAGCTAGCTGCTTATAACACCATTTCCAGGATATCTAGTGCTCTCTAGCCTTTGTGGGTACCTCCCTGCAGTTGGTGCAATAAACTCACACAGGCACACACATATATAATAAATAAATCTTTAAAAAAAAAAAAAAACATAGCACAGTGAAGTGGCTCACTGGGTAAAGAAAGGTACTTGGTACCAAGTCGAAAGACAGAAGTTTAATCCCCAGGACCAGCATAGCGGAAGGAGAGACTTTACTCCCACAAGTGTCCTCTTCCTCCACACCCTACAAACACATACACACACACACACACACACACACACACACACACACACACACACAAGCAACAAAGCATCTGATTTAAGTCATCTTAAAGAAGCAGAATGTATCATTTCTGATATGTAGTGGTCGAGTTTTCGGTATAACAGTCGTGTCACTGAGTATGTCAAGGCCAAGTAGTGGGGCCAAGCCTAGGGTCAGTGACCCAAAAGGAGTACTTGGTGCAAGTCCTTAAAATGCAGTGCAAATGCCAGGTGGTCATGGTACATTCCTTTAATCCCAGCACTCAGGAGGCAAAAATAGGTGGATCTCGGAGTCTGAGGCCAGCCTGGTCTGCAGAGTGAGATCTAGGACAGCCAGGGCTACACAGATATACCTCTACCCCCCACACCCCTCCAAAAGAGCCCAACCACAGAGATATCTCCCCTCCCCCCTAAAAAGCCCAACAAGAGCTGAGCATGGCTATGCTTGCCGGTAGTCAGCATTTGGGAGGCAGAAGCAGGAGGGTTAGGAGTTTGAGATCATCTTTATCTATGTAGTAAGTTCAAGATCAGCTGCGTGAGACCCTGTCTTGAAAAAAGAAAAAACAAAACAAACAACAACAACAAGAGAATAGTGATGAATTTAGAGGGTTAGAAGTACTGTCTAGTCATTGAACATAGCCAAGTGACCAAAGCACCTGACTCATAGCCCGTTTACAAAGCCCATAAGGGATTAAGCCATACATGATCTCCCCCAGCCGTCTAGACGATCCTCACCGAAAAGGACCACATCACTCCTCAGCCAGAGGTGACGCACGCCTTTAATCCCAGCACTTGGGAGGCAGAGGCAGGCAGATTTCTGAGTTTGAGGCCAGCCTGGTCTACAGAGTGAGTTCCAGGACAGCCAGGGCTACACAGAGAAACCCTGTCTCGAAAAAAA